CACTTTACAATCTTCCTTTCCCAAGTGTTTTAAGAAAACCACTACCATACCTGTGCCGAACAAAAATACTGAGATCTGTTTTAATGATTACAGACTGGTATCGCTCACATCAACTGCAATGAAATGCTTTGACAGACTAGTCATAAGGCATATTAACACTATGGAACAAGTAATAGGTTTATTCCGTGCTGAAAAGAGAAGAAAGAAAACACAATATTTCGGCTGTGGGGCCTTCTTCGTGTAAAATAAGAACACTGTGTTACCTGAGTGCTTCAATTTGCATACAGGCATAACAGGTACAGTGACGATACTATTTCCCTGGCACTTCAGACTGCCTTGGCTCATCTGGATGATAAAGGCAGACAGAATGCTATTCTTTGATTACAGCTCTGCCATTAACACTATACAGTAGTTCCATCCAGACCAGTCAAGCTTAATGATCTGGTTATCAGCGCCTGTCTTTGCAGCTGGATTCAGGATTTTCTCACTAGCAGATCACAGACTGAGTGTCGATCGAAAGCTTTTTTCCACGCTGATGGTAAATATAAATACCCCTCAGGGGGGCATGCTTAGTCCCCTGCATCTTTCTTTGTTTACCTACAATTGTGTGGCCAGACACAGCTCCAACTCCACCTACAAGTATGCTGATGACATGACCCGATGATCATCGGCCTAATCACCAGTAACGATGAGATGGCCTACAGGGATGAGATCAGGAACCTCGCGGAGTGGTGTGTTGACAATAATCTCTCCCTCAACGCCAGCAAAACCAAACAGCTGGTTGACCACACCCCTGTTGACATCAAAGGCCTGGCTGTATAAATGGTTAGCAGCTTCAGGCTCCTGGGTACTTTCATTCATTACTAACGATTTATTGTGGTCCCAGCATGTAACTGGAGTTACAAAGAAGGCACAATAGTGCCTTAACTTCCTCAAACAGTTTTAAAAAATTGGTCAACATTCAACTATCCTTACTATATTCTACAGGTGTGCTGTTGAAAGTGTGCTCATGAGTGGTATTACAATGTATTTTGGCAGCAGCTCGTTATCTGACCAAAAGGAGTTACACAACGTTTCAGCTGTGGAGCCTTCTTCAGGCCTTGACACAGCTGAACCATCTTATTTCTTTTCTTCTCTTTTCAGCACTGAATAAACCTTTTCTTGTTCATTTTCTGTTTTATATTTATAATTTAGGATCTATTGAATTTTGCTGTCACTTTGATGTTCACCATTTTGATGAATTGAAGTATTCTCAATGTATCAATTCCAGCAGGAGACAGGCCAAGACCTGTGTAACATAAAGAAAAAGAACAAAAAAAACCAAGAGAGACACTTCTTTCTGGAGAGTTTATTCCTGCAGACTGGTCAACATAACATTCTATGCTAAATCTATAATGGCACGTAAATACATTTAATACTAGGAGTACAATGTCCTGTAGTCCAAGAAACATTCAGGTGACACCTGGCTCACTGTGTTTGTTCTTACTCTGAACTGGTGAACTGGTCAGAAGCTTACAGCAACATAGTCTCAGTAGCAAATTCGACAGAGGGGTGAGAGGTGTATAGAGAGTATGCACATACTTCCCCTGGCTGAGAGAAAGGGGGACCAGCTACAAGAATCAAGAACAAGGCTACCCAAATCCCCACTCCGTTGTGAGGAGCTAGGGAGGTGCTGCAACGGTATAGAGGGGGTGGAAAGAGGGGTGTGAGAGAGATCTGTGAAAGGGACGTCCAGGGTGTGAGAAATATAGATGTAGGATAGTGGAAGTGGATGAGATTAAGATTGAATGTTCCTACCAGACTTCAGTTATAAACCCCATTCCCTCATTCTCTTCCTGTAAAATATAAATAGCAGCTCAAAATGACTGTGACTGTGTATGGTCAGAAAGATATCAGACAAGTTCACACCCTTTGAGAAAACGAAACCTTATCAACACAAAATCGAAAGCAAAAAACACATGTTTATTCAGTTTGAAAAACACACTGAAATGCAAATTGTTGAGAACATTTCAGTGAACAATCATTTGATATTTGATATTATTAACTCTCAAATGTCTAGACCAGCAGAAACAGAATAGCCACTCACTGCTTCAGTCTACATTATTTGCATTTTCTGTCTTATTTCATACTATTGTAGGTTCCTGCAGAGATCCTCATCATATCCCACTGTAATATTGTTACCAATGGGGGGGGGGGTTAAGAAATTGGTGAAAATCAAGAATTGACCGAGCAGTTTAGCCAATCAGTGAAATAATTGTTCATAATCCCCAACTTGTAAGTGATTTCTCGCAAAATGCCCGAGCAGTGGTTTAAACTCTTAATGCCTACAGAGGCCACATAAGAGATGAGCTGCCTTCTAACTAAGTACAAAGTAACCTGTAGTTAAATCTCTCTCTCTGCACCCCGGATGCCACAAAATAAATGGGAGCCTATATACCTATCCATAAAAATGCACCCTAAGCATGAAAGACGTTTCTGAGGCATCTTTTACCTAGGAAACCCAAGTTCTCTACAACTCACATGTGGCAACCCACTGAAGCTCAGCAGGTGTGAGCCTGGTCAGTACCTGGATCAAAGCCCTCCTGGGAAAAACTAAGGTTGCTGCTGGAAGAGGTGTTAGTGGGTCCAGTAGGGGGGCACTCACCCTGCAGTCTATGTGGGTCTTAATGCCCCAGTATAGTGACAGGGACACTATAGTATAAAGGACACTATAGTATATAGTATATAGTATAAAGGCTATACACTATAGCTTTTACCAATCACAGCCTCCTAATACTCCCCATCTATGAACTGGCTTCATCACTCTATTCCCCTCCCCACTGAGAGCTGCTGTGTGGTGAGTGTTCTGGTGCACTATGGCTGCTGTCACATCATCCAGGTGAGGCTGCACATTGGTGATGGTGGAGGGGAGTCCCCATTACCCGTAAAGTGCTTTGAGTGGAATGTGCGGAAAGTGTAAGCAATTATTTTAATTATTATAAAACACAGAATAGCAAACTCTCTCTAACAAGGTTCAGATACTTAGCTCCAGTCAGGTTTGGTTTGGATGATCATGAAGTAGGGGCTCTCGCCTGGCACAAGCTTCCACTCCTCTGGATTTCTCTCTCTTCTTGTGCTCCTGCTTCTTCTTCTTTCTCTTCTTCTCTGTGCTCTTAATGTGATTTTATATTGTGTGTGTCGGTACTGCTCCTTGACAATCATTAATCCACAATTTACCTATACCAGGTATACCAAGGTATAGTGTTTTCTCTCTTCTCTTTTCAGCATGGAATAAACCTATTGCTGGTTCTTTTGCAGACTACGTATGCTGACACAGCTACCCACCTGAACTAGGTATAACTAAGGTTAACTTTACAATTGTTTTTGCTCAAGGCACCCCCCAACCTAGAATCATGGAATGTCACTTGACGATTATTAAAGAAAGACTGCAAATCATAAGAGGGAATTCCGTACATACAGCTCCTTTAATTTGAGTATTTTACTAATCCACGGACCTTTTCCAGCTGTTCTTCCAAAGACAAAGTATTGGCTTCGAAAACATGGCTGGGTAGCGTGTTGCAGACTCCCGCAACCCTTTGTGTAAAGAAGTGCCTCCTGTTGACAAATGTAACAGTACAGACCTTTTGTTTCCATATTTAGATCTATTAAAATTGTTATAGACCTTCGACACCAGCACAAGGCATCATTCAGAAGTTTGCCGTATCTCAGCTGCATTAATATAGTTTATACTGTGGTACTATCAATCTGTATATACTATCAATCTGCATTTTGCACATATTTTATTGTTTTGCAGTGCCTATTAGCATATTTTGCACACACCAAACTCTATTTTTTATTTTATTTTGTATTGCTGTACTTATTTTAATTTTTAGTCTATTCTGTTTTTGCTTGTCTTGGGCTGGGCTGCTGTAACACCTCAATTTCCCTTCGGGATCAATAAAGTCTTATCTACCTGTCTCGCAGCTCCAGAATGCAGACTCTGATTCTGATTGCTATATTTGTCTGTAAGAAGCTCACCTGGGTTTAATAAATCAAATAATGTTTGACATTTTATGATGACGATGTATTAAAGATAAAAATGTGACATGATAAGGTATCCAAGACTGGAAACTGTTTTCATATTCTTTCTTCGATAGGTAAGACAATAATATTGCATTCTTATGAGTGCTTGATAGTTCTCCAAGATGTTAAACAACACACTAACAAGAAAATACATCACCTTACAAAATGTCTGTGATTTTCCTGTAAAATTCTTAATACTATTTTAAGTACAGTGTGAATTTACATTCACTGACATGATTTCTCTGTACTGCGAACTATAGATACATTTTGGGTTGGTGCAGTAAGTGAACTAATGTTTAGGACTGCTGCCTCAAAAATCTTCAGTCCAGTATTCATATCTGTGTACCAGTATACACCATGTAGAAATTGCATGTTCTCCCATGTTCACATGAGTTTTTCCAAGTGTTCCTCCCATCTTACAAAGACCTGTGGCATAATTTCATTGGGGTCTCTGAATCAATGTGCACAAGCAGCTTTCTGATAATGTATGGAAGCATTTAATTTAATTACAGGGTAACAACTAATGTATAATAATAATAATAATAATAATAATAATAATAATAATAATAATAATAATAATAATAGGAAGAAGAAGACTCCTCTACACCTGATTTCGTAAACCGTAAACAGTGTTGCCCAAGGAAATTAACAAACATTGGGAACATAATTTTTGAAATTTTGCAGGGATTTTTCTTATATGTATTCTTAATTTTAAAATGATTCCATAGAGTAGAAATAAAAAACGCATGCCGGAGCAGAAATGTAATCTGGCACCAAAGGGGATTAAAAAGTTTTAAAAAGTCAATTGACTCGCTCACTTTTCCTTCATGAACGCCGTCTTCTCAAACGTTTAAATTTTTGAGTGCACCTACAAGACAAACCCCCTAGTCTCGGTGCAGAGTGAATATAGTTCCTGTAGTCTATTTCCAGACGGGGGCGTTTACCAGGCACACGCGGGGTTTCTGTGTGTTTGAGATGGCGGTCAGAGGAGAGAATACAAGATCAGAATAAATATCATTACAGTAATCAAATTAGCTTTCTGGAAAATAACATATAGAAGATTAATAACTATTTTTACTTAGTTAAAAAGTGGGGGCGGCATGGAGGGTGGCAAGCCTTCCCTTTCGCTGGTGTATCAGGCCGTACAGGCTCTTTATCATGACCCGGACCCCGCCGGCAAGGAGAGAGCCTCCGTATGGCTCGGAGAGCTGCAGAGATCGGTAAGCGGGGTTCGGGAAACTCCGGGGATTTCGTGTGGCCTTCGAGGAAGTTATCGGTGGATGCAAAAGGACAGCTGAAATGTTTACTATGTTTACATTTTTAAACATATTATTTCACTACACCGACACTGCATTAACTACAAGCATCATACTGACGACGAAGATTAAAGTGATGTTTTTTTGTAATATACGCATACTGCTGATATTTTATGTCAAATGGAAAAGCAGAATGCAGTCTCCCATCCGGATTCCTGTGGGACCCAATCGCAGCGATGATGGCGAAAACAAGATTAATTTACTTCGTCTGTACATAAGTATTACTTAGCAATTACCCTATTTTATGAACGTTACTTTAGAATATCTCATAATACGTATTAATTTGTTCTTAACTGAAATATTCAGAAGGATCGGTGCTGACCATGCTTAGTTGTGTGTTTCCAAAACGAGCATGTGATATGTAGAAAATCGTGCAAGTATTCGTTATCGATTTTAGTTAACGTTACGCTTGGTAGTAGAGTAGATAAAGTATGAGCATAAAGAATGTAACAGATATATTTGTGATGGATTTCATTTGTTTCTCTCACTTCAACTTACTTCCCTTTGATTTCCGCGTTTTTATTGGCTAACGCCAGCAGGAAATGCTGAAACAGTTCAGTAGAGGAGCTGTAGGGCTAAAGGGTATATTTGCATTTTGTTGTCAGATGTAAATTTATTTGTAAGTGCTAAATTCGTCTGACTTTATTTGTTATACCTTTGTCTTTGGTACTAGAAGTGTTTCCCAATATAGTTTAAAGCCAAATCTAAAATGGAACTGTTCCCCTAACGTTTGCGTAATTACTTATGCGGAGACAGGAACGCCAAGATCGCTGATGAAGAGCAAAAACTATTAACGATTTTAATTTTAGCTATGCTAACATGCGCATATTTGCTGAAGGTATGCTTGAAATGAGCTGCACTCATTTAACCAGTATGCAAGTGTGTAGTTATGGGAACCCGAGATGTATTAAACTCGTATCCCTCCAACTCTGTTAATGTGTTAAATTTAATATCTGAAACAAAATTTGTTTAGGCCGCAATGACCCATCTCTTCTTCTATTGAAATAATTAAGTTGATTCTTTGCAAAACAATATGTACTGTAGACCTTCTTGCCTGTGTAGAAAGTTTCCTGTCCATATTTTTTTTTATTCGATATCACAAGCAGAAATCTGGCTATCCAACCTGTTGGTAAAACTTACAATTCAAATAACCCTGTTTTAACATGCAGAAGAAGCAATTAGCGTACAGAAACTTTACTATTTTTATAATATATTTCTGCTACCAATATCACATAAAATTGTGTTGATTTAGTGATATTAGTTAATAAGACTAATGCATTCACGTTGCGAGCAGTTTCTGTTTCCTTATAGAATACATGTAGTGAATCATATTTAAAATTGCTGTCTCTGATTTAAACATTTACTTTCTTCTACAGTATGTCAGCAATTAAACATTCTCTACAAAATGCTTGATTTATAATGGACTTTTTTTCAAAAGCATATGAGAAAGAGTTCTTTAGTTTGTATATTGGGTGAAAAAGGACAAAATTTCCAGGGCTTTCTCGAAAATGTGAAATTGGTTCTTCAATATTATTATACACCATAAAGTTATGCTTACACGTTGTGTATCTTCATAATATTATTTTCAAGTTTCTGATTTGGGGTAATTTGTAGAGTTAGGTGGCAGGAAATGGCTCTTTGACATTAGGAGGTGGCACGCCCCTGTCTCAGTGCCCCCTATGCTTTTCACCTTCCGCTAAATGCAGTGTCATCTTGTATTGAATACCCGAGGAATCCTGTTTTAAATACCCTGCTGAGTTTTTTTGCACATTGCAATTACTTTTTGTCCCTAAAATGGGAGGACTTTGGATAAAAAGGGCTGCGATTCCTATGTGGTTCACCCAATATAGACGTAAATACCCTCTAATTAAAGCTGACATTCTGCACTTTAACCTCATAGTCAATGTTTCATTTACAGAAGTACAGAGCCAAAACAGCAAAAATTGTGTCACTGTCCAAATACTTTCGGACTGCACTGTATTGTCCGTTTTTTGTAAGATTGAGTGGTAAAAAGGTAAGGTGTAATGACCCGATGCATTTAACATCTTCAATCTCCAGAGACCCTCCTAGACAAGGTCAAGTGTTTGTCAGGACTTGCAAGTGTGTTGACTTGAATATGGGAAGAAAACCTGAAACTAAAGCCTCAAGCTGAGAAAGTTTAACTTTGAGGTTCTGGTATAGATAATAGTCTAGATTCTAGATTTTTTCAGAATGAGATTGAAAAGAGTTCTATCATTTGTACTTTAGGTGATTCACTAAGGTGAATGAGGCCCCCTTTTTCTAGGGCTTTGTCGAAAATATGACATTGGTGCCTTTGCTATGGAATTCATTATTATTTTTGCAAAGTGTTTTATTTTCTTTACAAGCTCATGAACCATGTAAAGAAGAGAGACTGGTGAGAGAACAATAGTTTGTTCTGTACTATAACCCCTTATTTCACAGTGAATGAAATATTTCAGTGCTGTCGTGTACACAAGATAACATGATTGTACACAAGAATCCATATTGAAATACTGTTGCGTAATGTATTGTACGAGTATTTGTCAGCCAGCAGCTGAGATGGTATGTTAACATATAGCTCTCAAGTGTAACGAAATGGAACCAAATCTCATGCCTTAGTCTGGAAATCTCACATTTGCATCTAAGTTTAGGTTGATTTAACAAATTAAGTAATGAATGTAAAATTTTGAAAATGTTTTCGAGGCTCTCGATTCCATTAAGCAATGTGTTTGCAGGCGTGGTCCCCCCCCCCCATCAATATCATATGCAATCTCAGTTTTCGATGGAAAAACGCGCACATTAGAGTTTTTGACCCTTGAGAGCTATGTCAGTAATCAACTTGGGAAAAAATATGAAGGGTTTCCTTGCAGATGGATCACCGGGTCACAGGCAAAAACTGGGTTCCTTCTTCACTTGCACAACTTGGTGATAAAAATCATTTCTAAAGAATAATAAAATGAGTGGAATCCATTTAATTTTCCAAGTGGAAAAAATGTATTAACTCAGTCAGTGCAACATTAACAGCACCGCAGTAGCAAAAAGAACATGATGGCTTGATGCAGACACAAAACAGCAAATCATGGGTAATCTACATCTTTGACGAACCCTATATAATCAAACTACTTCATAATATCTTGTTCAGGATAATATCATTTAGTTACAATAATAAGATAGCTAGTTTGCAGGCTTGCAAAGTAATCTAGCTGTTGGATAGCTAGGATGGTGGAGGTTATCACCTTGCCAGAGCTTTATCCTGTGGGAAAACCCTTAATTCCAGAATTTCCCAAAGACGCATTGGAAATTGTGTAGTGAACCTGAAGAAAAACACTCCCACCATGTGATCTGAAGTAACAAATCCTATTTCAGTTCCACTTGTGTGTGTGAGAGAAAATTGAGTTGTGACTGAACAGGTGGGGTGGCTGACACTTAGTGCCTCAGGAAGGCTAGGAGTATTACTAACAATCATTCTGGTTTCTCGCGTTTCTGTCCCCTGCCCTCTTGGTAAGTGTTACAGGAGCGTCGAGGCATGTTTCTCCAGATTCAGAGACAGTTTCTTCCTGCAAGCTGTCAGATTACTGAACTTTACCCCTACCACTGACTCACACTGATGTTTTTTTGCACACTGCTTGTGCTGACTTATTGAAGGTGTATGATATTTAACTTTGTTTTTGATGTTGTTGCTGCTGCCGCTGTTCTGTGTTTTAAGTTTGGTGTTTCATCAATGTCTTTGTATTGTAGCATACATGCAAATAAGCATTTCACTGCACTGTAGAAGTTCAAGTAGGGAGCTGTGTCAGCAAGCGTAGGCTGCAAAGGAACAGGTAAACGTTTATTCCATGCTAAAAAGAAAAGGCTTACAAATTCTTTTAGCATGGAATAACCTTTACCCATACCTTTGCATTTCATTTCAGTTGCACATATGACAAACTGAACTGAAAGTGTGTCAGGGTTGTAGATCAGATGTGCTGTTATGGCATTTTAAGAGTGTTATAAGCAGTGTGTGCTGAAGATGTTTTAAAACTCTTACAGGCACTATGGCAGGTGGCTTAGGCATTGAGGCAGTTTCTTTCAGTGCCCTTGGTTGTGTTGCTCCCTGGAATAACTGTGGTCACAGAAACCAACATTAAAAATTCAAGTACCTCCTGTTTAAGCTTTCCTAGTACAGTGAGTACACTGAGCTTTTGTTACATGTATAGACACGGATGAGAAAGTTGTCTCATATACATTTTTCCTTACAAAGTGACAACTCTCAGTATATGATTTGAAGCTTAGTGAATCTCATATTACAATGAAGAAGACTCTTCTCATCTACAGATTGTTTGCACATGGAGTTTTTTAACTGCTAGTATGGGCTTTACAGTATCTCAGAACTAGGTGTTTGTATAGTATTTCACATAATGGTGGGATTTAGTGTATAATTTTCACATCTGACCATAAGTCATTGCCAAAGATGCTTATAATTCTATATTTTACAGTCAGAAGGAACATTTCAGAGGTTTTGAATCCAGTTCCCAAGGCTAGTTAACCTTACCTATTACATTTCATAGATAATTTTAACCTAACCTAAGTTAAAAAATGTATTGGATAATGCGTCTCATACTCTGTTCCTGGAGTATACCTGTAGAGTTAGTATGATGGATCATTTTAAATCATGTTAAAGATTAGGAATGCTTGAAAGTTATTAATATTTTAAGTCTATAATTTGTTAAAACTACATTTATAATTAAGGAGATACTGGTCTTTAAGGGCAGTATGAATTTAATTAAAGTTTCTCTAAAGTACTTAATTTAACATTTTCACCTATTAACCTGATCAGGTGTTTCATTTTTTTTAAATTAAACGGCTAAAGATAAAATCTGTTAGACAGGGACTCTCCGGAGCAGAGAGGGAGACCCTTTTACTTGAATGTCATCAGCCACAGTGTAAACCACCATGTGTTTGCTCACAATTGGCAGAGTTTAAACTCTTCTGCTCGCACTTGACACATTTGATATCTGCAGTGCAGGCTCCTTAATTCTGTGACAAGATAAGAAAGCTCCCTTGAAGCAGTTCAAGTGTTTCACAAACTAAAAGCAATCCCAGTAAATGTATTTCAGACATTTATCGCCATGCATGTTTGCATGAATGACCTGTTATAGCTAAGGATACTTCAGACCAGCATTTGGCGTAAAAACGGCAGGTGTTTGGTGATTATAATGTGTTCCATTCCACAGGCCTACCTGACCCCGACTGTGGGTTCTTTCTGAACAGAGTATTATCGGACCTCCTCTAAGGGCAAAATTAAAACGCAGATTACTGTCAGGACAAGATTTTAAGTTATGACAGTTAAAATGCTTAAATTTGTACTAATACATTTTTAATCAAATTTTGCACAAAACAATTTCCAAAATACAGTAGTTCAGTATTTGTTAATGATGGTTGACTAAAACATTTCTACAGTCTTATTTGCAATTTAGATATTAATATTAAATTCAAATACTGTGTATGTTCTCTCAAGATCAGTTCTCAAGCAATACTTATTGTTCTTGTATTAGCAGATGAGAAATATGTGAAATCAATTACCTACATGTGAAATTGTTTTATGATTATTTTTATTTTTGTCTTCAGCATTTGATAATGTACTTGGATGTTTACAGGTTTTTTTAGAGTTTTCAAGCGCTGTATCACCATATTAGGTCTTTCATACAAGTGATTTTAGGACAAATGTAATCAGAGGTAAGCTAAAAATAGTTTACTTATGGATTTCTAGGAGTCTATGAGAAGCTGTTCTGATGTTAAAAGTGTATCTGGATGAGATTGTGAAATCAGCTAGCATTTATCAACCAGACAAAATAAGCTGAATGGTCTCCACATTCTAGCAACCTTTCTTATTCTCTTATTGTCCACAAAACAACATTCAGGCCTGCCAATGGGTAAGCAGACATTTTTACAGGATATTGTATCACAACATTGTAGTAGTTTGTTTTTGCTGTTGTTGGAATGTTAGCTTTATAAATTCATGTTTTAACTTGATAATGTTCTCATTTTCTCCTAGATGTATGCATGGGAGATATCAGATCAATTGCTCCAGATAAAACAAGACGTCGAATCGTGTTACTTTGCAGCACAGACGATGAAGATGAAAATTCAGACCTCATTCTACGAGCTTCCTGCAGAAACGCACATTTCCCTGAGGGACTCACTGCTGTCACACATACAAAACCTTAAAGACCTCTCTCCAATTATTGTCACCCAGGTAAAAAACATTTCTGCCATATAGATACAAGAAATAAAAACAATTATTAGAATGCATTGTTCCAGTAAGTAACTAGGGTACAGATATGTGGTAAAGTAAGTGTTCCAGTATTGTAGTAGAGAATGAGTTGTGATAGCAGCAATTTCTTTTTTTTCCCTTAGTTTAATATGTTTAATATGGACTTCATTGCTAGCTGCTGAAGGAATGCTTTTGAAGCTCAAGACCTTGGATTTCTTACAATTATCCTTTTCTTATTTCACATGACCATGAATGAACATGTGCCTCCACATTTACAAATAAATGCAGAACATGAACAACATTTGAAGGGTCTTGTTGTTTGGTGATTTGTTGCTTACAAAGGTTTTTAGAACACTAGGCTTTCCCATAGAGTGAACAGGTCAGACAAATCAGCTGTTCAGAGTATCAGGTCTTAGTATTTAACACTTTTAAGATGGAGTTTGTCAAAGAGGGGAGGGGAAATGTTTATTTATTAAAGTGACAGTATCGCTTCTTAATGCTAATGAGTGTATTCCAAGGTTATTGGTGTCATCTCAACATTGAAGTAATTGTTAAAAGTTAATAAAATAACGTTTTGTGTTTTGGCTAGTTATTCCAGTTACTGGCAATAGGAGAGTGTTTTGTCAAAACATTAACAACAATGCTGTACCAAACTAAAAGAAATACAACCCATCCACATTGGGAAGCAGACATAATACTTTGAGAACAAAATGATAAAAGTATTTTAGAATTTCAGTAAAGCCAGTTAAAGGAGCAATATCCTGCTGTTAAATTCCTAGCTCTCAGGGTTGATCCAACCTGTGCTAACAGATTTCAAAGGTATAATATTGTACCTTTAAAGGTCTGTAGAAAAGAATGTTGGAATAAATTCAGCCTTACATCTGTGACTGTAAAAGTACTGTTATTGAAAAGGCTTTGGAAAAAACTTTGAAACGTTGTAGATAATTAGAAAATGAAGTCAATTGTCTGTTCAGCAAAGACAATGATGTGTCAGGCAACATGCACATCCTCTCCAACTGTACAGCTTTCTTCATGAAAGGAGGATGCGCTGAGCTGTTAAAGTTTTTAATGTTTTTAGGTTTTTTTTATAGAGAGGAAATTATATGGTAAGTGATGGAAGGATTCATATTTTAGGCAGCAGGGTAAAGAAGTGAGCAATAATGTCTTAATCTCCAATAAATAGATACCTCATTTGTCACTCATAAGCTTTTGGCCTGTACTGTTCAAAGGACTATACAAGCTGAAACTAGTTATGTCAGATGTTCAGCAGCATTATGTCATTGTTTTGAAAACGGGATATGTTTATTGCCCTTAATATAAATTTTCTTGTCTCTTCCTTAGCTTGCTCTAGCAATAGCCGATCTTGCTCTACAGATGGCGTCCTGGAAAGGTTGTGTCCAAACGCTTATTGAAAAGTAAGCCTAATGTTATGTACTTATTTAATGTTCTTAACCATAGTGAATAGTATAAAATAAACTAGCCTTTCTTTATGTTTTAAACTAATTGTGTATATTTTAATATTTTCGCAATACAAATCCTGTAAGGGGTCCTTTTCCTTAAAAAAATGACATCTTTTTAAAGATTAGATTAGTGAATATTTTGTTCTTGTATCCTGATTTTTTTTTCACTTGTAATTGAGAGGGAAATTGGAGCACTGATGTGAATTTTTTGTTGTGCTTTGGTGTGTTTCACTGGAGGGGGCAGGAAGAAATGCTGATTAAAGAAAATTGATTTTTTTCCCACCTCTTAAGGTACAGTAACGACGTCTCCTCGCTCATCTTTCTGATTGAAATCCTCACTGTTCTACCTGAAGAGGTGCATAGCCGTTCCCTCCGGATTGGTGCCAATCGCCGCACTGAGATCATTGAGGACTTGGCTTATTACTCAAGCACTGTTGTAACTCTGCTGGTAAGAAAACCGTCCTTCATTAAAACAGTCAGCAGCATAGGTCTCCCATCTTCAATGGTAATTATCGTATTATTAATAAAATGATACCAATAAATCCCATAGAACATATATATTAGCGCCATGGAGAAAAAACTATTACATTTAAATAAGATAACATTGCATGTAAATGCGATAATTGCTTCATAAACAATATTGCTTAATATATTCATATCTTGCAATAATATTGTTCCATACAAATTACGATCGTCATTAACAACAATCTTCACACTCCTTTTTGTGCAAATTAATTAAGAGTGATGGAGCAACATGTACTGTGTACATTGAGTACAACACCCTGTGATTAAGCATTCCTGTCCTAAATGTGTGTAATTTTTATCACTTTTGTGAGAAGCGGAAACAATAAAGCTTTTCGAAAGTATATTATTCTTCATGTGAAACTGCAGAAACGTAGATGGGTTGTTGTTTTATCCTTAAACATTGAACCGAATATATTTATGATGAGTTAACAGTAAGGCTTATACCTACTATTACTGAAGTCTCTCCTCGGTTTCTGTTGGTTGATCACACAAAAACCTCAAAAGCTTTTACCCTATGCTTACATCAGATGTATTTGGAATTACAAAGCAAACAGCAGGAAATGTGTCATTTGGAAAGGAGAAGAAATCAGTTTTGTGTTGTTCTCCACATACACGAGTGTATGGAAATGCATGACAAAGTCATAAACGATTCCAGGGCACACGAGCCAGAGCCAAACTCAGTAATGTATTTATGAAGATGGTCCTGTTGCTGCGCTGTCTTGTTTAAATGCAGTATTACCTTGTTTTAATGCAATCATTTTTTTCTCTCTGCTGCGGTAATAAGCTTCCGTCAAAAACCCTCCAAAACCTGCAGAACTGATCTGTCCACGCAAAACCTGTTTGTTTAAAATACCGCAGTAATGAAGCTGGCCTTCAGACTTTCTTAGGAGTCTTGCAGATGGATAAATGCCTAAAGGAATAGTAAGGGGCTTGCTGATTTTATTTTTCTCAGATGTCTTGTGTGGAAAAGACAGGGAGTGATGAGAAGATGCTGATTAAGGTATTCCGTTGCCTTGGGAGCTGGTTTAACCTTGGCGTTCTGGACAGTAACTTCATGGCCAACAACCAGCTGCTAATGATACTCTTCCAGGTGCTGGTGAGTGATCAGACCTGTTTTAACCCTACATATAAATCATTTAAGTGTAATTGTGCACATTTATATTATTATAATGTATAAAATGTGGGATGTTTTTTTTTTTGCCCAAAACATTTTTGAATGATTCCTTAGAAAAGATTCTAAAATAGAAGAATTGGATATTACTGGTCAGCGTTTCACGGAAGATGATCTTGATAGTATATTCTCATTGCAGATTGGTAAAACAGTTTTTACTTGATAAAAATTTGACTTTTACAAATGCGTTTTATACTATTTTGTTCTCTTTTTAGTTTAGAATCACGTATTATTTTTTGTCATATCCACCTTGTTGGAAATGGTGAACTTTGTTTTTTACATTTCGGCTTGCACCCACAAACCCTGAAGCCACACACGGGAAGTGTATTCTCTGACCGACTCACCTTCGAGCCATTAATCTATTCACACTACAGGCAATGCCAATCCTAGCTGGAGGTTATGAGACGTGTCCCTCAGCAGCAAAACTACATGCATACAAATACCCAGGAAGCTGCTGGGGCACTGTGTCACCGGGAGCTGAGAGAGCCCTGGCCGACTAATCCCACCCTATTGGCTAAGCGCCGTCTCTTGGGGAATCCTGGTCACAGTCAGCTGGTAACATGACCCAGGCTCAAACCCTTGCTCATAGAGTTCTGTCTACATTTGACCCACACAGTCTTACCAACAATATTAAAAGGCAGAAAGAATTGTATATCTAAAGAAAATAGTGCAGCTATAATTAGAAATGGATTTTAACAGTCTTGTACAAAATATTAGATTTTTCATTCAGACAATATGTTGATGAGCTTGTGTAGTTCCCTTCTTTTTAACTTTGATGGTGCAAAAAGATACCATCTCATTCTTCAATATTTTTCTGATCTTTTGATTTTTGTTAGGTATCTTTCACGTGTAGCTAAAAGCTTATCCTAAATCATCTTATTTCTGACTTTAAAGAACTTTAAATATCACATCTGTATTTCCTGTGACATTAAGTGCTGATCTGGAAGCAGCGCTGGGAGAGCACTGTGGATGTTCTTGTTAATAACACTGTGCATGTTTATGAATGGTGAACCATTATAATGTGGGACATTATGCGGTGTTTTGAAAAGGTAAAAATGGATTTGAAATCAAACGCAGGATATATGTTCTTATTATTTTTAATTTTATTAAACATTTTTTTACGGAAGAACAGTCAGATGTGAATTAAGTTTTTCTTTTTCCATTTTCTAGCAAAGGGATGAAACCTCCACCAACTTGCACGAGGCAGCCTCAGATTGCGTATGCTCTGCTCTGTATGCAATAGAGAATGTAGACAACAACATGCCCCTAGCACTGCAACTATTCCAAGGGGTCCTGACACTGGAGACGGCCTACCACATGGCAGTGGCTCGGGAGGATCTAGACAAGTAATGCATTCTTTTTTTTGCATTCATCATTATTAAACCTTCTTGCTTCCAGAGAACTGTACAGCATGAACCTACTGCACAAGGATAGGCAATGCCTGTGATCTTAACTGCTTAGATCTTGCATCATGTGATGCCGTCATGGAAAGGGGGCAGCTTCCAGAAGTGTCCATGCTTTGCTAGAAGAACAGTATGTGCTAAAATCAGAAAGTCATAATTTCATCTTCTCTGTGTTAATGTTATGTGTAATCTTTCATCACAGTTTTAATTCTTATAATTGTACTGCTGAAATGTCTTACAAGAATGTACAATGTTGGACCTTTTAAAAAATGAACTGTAATTTGTTCTTAGCTGTCTTTACTTTGGATATGACAGTGCTGTTAACATGACAAAATTAATCAGGATCTGATCTGTTCTGCTAGTTACCGTAAAATGTAAATCTGCTTAGGAATAAGCTTTTCATGTTTTGTATGTTGCCATTTAAAACAAAACCAATAAAAATAGGGTATTGCTTTGTTCTCCAGCAGCACAAATTCCCACAATATATTATCGTAACATTCCATGGTTACAGTTTCTACATTTCTAGATAAACGAACAAGAAAAGATGTTAAAAGGTGCTGGACTCTGTGCTGAATAGGAATCAATTGTGATACTGTTCACTTGTCAAAAAAGTATACTCTGTTTAAAACTGTTTAATTTGGTGATTGCGTTGCCTTTTTTTTGGCATTGTCAGTTGCTGATTGTGAATTGCATAGTTGACTAGAAGATTTTACTATTGAATTTCCCACCCCTGAATATCTTGGCTTGTTTTTACCAAAATTGTCTATGTACTCTTACTGAACCTCATCATGAAACAGTAGTTGCTTGATTCCGTTCAAGTTCCTGTTTTTATTTTGCCTTTTTTTGAGTGCCTTTAGTAATGTTTTATTCTGACCGATAACTTTAATATTTTGCTGTGTTTTTGTGATGCCTTTTACTGAACTGACTGGTGCATTAAAGTTAGTGGTAAAGGTTTAAGATGTGTACTTCGTTCGAAATGTAAATGCATTATAAATACATTTAATAAGCAAAAGAAGACAGATTCCCCAATATATTAAATAATTTATTTGTGTGTGTCCCAGTTAATAACTTGGTGTCTTCCTGCAGGGTTTTGAATTACTGCCGTATTTTCACTGAGCTCTGTGAGACTTTCTTGGAGACAATAGTAAGAAGTCCTGGCCAGGGTTTGGGAGACCTTCGAACACTAGAGCTTCTTCTCATCTGTGCAGGACACCCACAGTATGAAGTAAGTTCATGCAATAAAAACTGTAAAATATGTAAAATGTAAGTAGAAAAAAAGACTTGTTTGGAAAATTGGAAAATTGATAAGAAACGCCAAGCATTTCATTTGATGTTTCATAAAAGATCTAAACTGACATTAGTATGGAATTTTGTAGTTTGTAGACTTGCTCTGTCCAGTGGATAGTGATTTCTGAGTCTTCAAATATTTTTGTTCATCAATAGCTAATTCGGTTGTTTTTTTAACTAGTAAAAAAATAGTATAGAAGGACTTTTCAGTATAGTTCTTAGTAAAAGATTATAAACCAAAATAGTTTTTATGCTTGTGTGAATCAATCTGCCATGACACAAATGACTGCTTACTCATGAGATAATGAGACAATGGGATAAAAAATATTCACCATAGCAGGGTTAATTTACACTGACTATAATAGTCGTTATTTTAGCCAACCTAGTAATTTAATCAGTCTTGTACAATTTATTTCAATATTTCTTCACTCAAAAGTAAATAATCACCTCCTTTCTTGTTCCAACACTTGTTTGCTATGGTATCTTAATTGTTAACATTAAATGTATACTCATCCAAGGAACACTTGGTCAGGCTTTTTGATAAACGTTTTAAAGAAGTCCTGCGTGGAGGGGAGTGCTGGTTCTGGTCGCAGCATCTAATCCTTATCCACTGGTTCCAGGCCAAAGGAATTCTGCTTACCCCCATGCTGAAATCCACTTTCCTGGAATGTGCACGAAATTGCAAACCTTGGAAAGTCCACATAAAAACTTTAGCAGAAAGAAACTTACTGATATACAGCAGTCTAAAAAAGTCCAGCTATAGTTCATTGATCAGGCAGAACTATAGTGGGGAGCTCGTCACAGAATTTCCTTGGGCAGAATGCTGTTGGACAGTTTCTTTCATCTCGCTTTGTTCCTTACAGTTTGCAATAGATATTATTGTCAGGTTATTATTTAGCTTTCATTTTGAGAGGGCTTTGGAGAACGTGGTTTTGTCATTCGGAGCCTTTTAATTTGTCGTCATTGGAGGCGGTTGTTGGCGACGTCATCTGGGCCCACCGGGTATTCTTGTCAATAGTGGATCACTCTGGCGTTCAGGGCAGGTGGCCGCCAGCTGGGGTTCCAATTCAGAGGTGAACCAAGACGCAACAGAGTGAGAATTTCTTCACTGGACTTGTCATAAGGAGTCCAATTTATGACGTCCTGGTTTCGGATTAGGATGAGTCAGCCCATCCCGATTGTCAGTGTCCCATTTCAGATACGTTCCTAAGAAGCTGACTCAAAGGCGTTAAGTGGTATCTATGTGATATGTTTTCTATGTTCACGGCAGAAGAAAAGTGTTCAGAGATCATGAAATAACCCAATCCTAAGCGTAATAGCCTTGCAGCCGCACAATCCATTGAGATCTATGAGTGAGCTAATCTAAATGCATTTTTTGTGTCCTTGTTCTTCTCCTTCTTTTGTAGGTAGTGGAGATCTCCTTTAATTTTTGGTATCGATTAGGAGAGCATCTATATAAAAGTGACCCGGTGCTCCATGCGATTTTCCGACCGTATATCCAGAGATTGCTGCACGCGCTGGCTAGGCACTGCCAGCTAGACCCTGACCATGTGAGTGACCTATGTTACTGGACCTGCTGAAATTCCATCATGTCTCTGTCTTTCATCTTGTATTCATTTATATATCCATTTGCATCGCTTTACATGTGTTCGTTCACTCTAGTGTCATCATGCTTTTTTAATTGTAATAAATCTAATGCTAATTGGCCACTATTATATTATGAATCCCAACTACAGAAATGGGTTTATTATTCTAAAACAAGTTTAAAATGTGTGAATTCGTGGTATTTTATTAAGCCACTTTTGCCCCCACAGAAATCTGCAAGTCATATTTTTTTTCCAAATTGTACAAAGATTTTCTGCAAAGAGTAGTTACTGGCTTTGATATTGGTCATATTTGCAGCTGTATACAGTATATTTGTAATATCTGTTCAGATACATTACCTTTCTTCACCCATCACTATAGTACAAAATACTCAGGAAAAGGTCTGATATTCTACTACTTTATGATCCTCAGTATTAGTTTGCCCTTCTAGGTTACTGGGCCATCTCCTTTACCGTGTATCACTCTGGTGGAAATATTGGAACATTAAGTTTTGAACAATGCCCATGAATTATATTAAATATTGTGCAAACAGAACAGTGCTATCAAAACTGTTGCTATAATTAATTTTTTGTATTCCTACTAATGTACTTATTTGGCATGTCTGTAGTACAAGTCACATATCGGATATTTGCAGCATTTCATTTTTATTTGAGTCATCAGACAAGACTAGTTTCTTAGAGTCGTATGATTAAAAGCTAATTTTGTAATGCTTTGCATAACTGTAATGCTGTGGTTTGCCTAGTGCTATAGTATGTCTTATTTATATATTAAGCGGTCAATGTCATATTGCACAGTGCCACATGCTCATGAAACATGTTCTGTAACAACCAGATTATTCTGAATTAGTTTTTGAAAAACTTGAAAATGTTTTTCTTTACTTGAGTTTTGTTCTTCAAAAGGAAGGAATACCTGAGGATACAGATGATTTTGGAGAATTCCGAATGAGAGTCTCTGATCTCGTGAAGGATGTCATTTTCTTGGTTGGCTCCATGGAATGTTTTTCACAGGTGCCTTTAATAACAATTTCTATTCTAGTCATTTTGTTGTCTTTTGTTACTTGATTGCTACAGATAAAGGTTATTCCTGATTCCTTCGAAAGAAGTTTGGAATTTCAGATGGTTAATCTAAATCTTTGATCATTCCTAATCTTTGAGCTCTGACAAATGAGTGATTTATTCTTCATTCAGTGACAGTTTCAAAGTTTTACGTTATTTACGTTATTTGAGCTAGCTTTTTCATGTGCCCGTGTTAGAGAGGCAATGGAATAGAGATAGGACAGTATTTCATTACACTTGTACACATATGACTAATAAACTGATCTGAACCTGCTGGCTGTTCAGACATAGTATGGGCAATTATGCACCCCAGTTTCTTCTCAAACCATGTCAAGCCACATTTGCCAGTATTCTCTAAGTAAAGGCTCAGCTCAAGTTGAAAATGTTTGTCTGCTGGAACTCTTGCAGTTGTATGCTACTCTGAAAGATGGTAATCCACCATGGGAGGTGACTGAGGCGGTCCTTTTCATAATGGCAGCCATAGCAAAGAGCGTGGATCCGTGAGTATGAGTTCCATTCTTTTTGTGAATAAGTTGACATGTAACATTCAGAATATGACATTGTCGGCTTTTTTTCCCCCCCATCTGCAGAGAGAATAACCCAACACTTACGGAGATGCTCGAACAAGTGGTTCTTCTGCCCCAGACTGTGCACAGTGCGGTCAGATACACAAGCATTGAGTTAGTTGGAGAGATGAGCGAGGTTGTTGACCGAAATCCCCGTTTCCTAGGTATGTAGTAATTGTCTTTCAAGTCTTAGTGTATATTGTATTGTTAGCAGTTATACATTTATTGTACGTTGGCTATTTTAAATGTTTCCTTCCTGTGTAATTGTCTTATATACCGAAAAGGGTCGAAAAGTTAATTTACAGTTACATGACTAGATGCACTGCAGCAAAATGGTGTAAAACTTTTTTAACAAAAATTACATATGGGTTAAAAATTACTCACATTCTACAGTGCTACAGTTTTAGGCTTGGTGGCAACATTATTAAAAAGTTACGGGCATCACTCCAGAGCTTGAGGGGTCATTTGTTTTTAGCAGCTAGGGACTGTGGAGGTTGCAGATCTCCTGGCCCTTATAATAGCATGTTTTACTCATGCAAGTGGTTAAACAGCTTTTCTCTGTATTTTTCTGTGTATTAAGCTATGTAGGCCACTGCTTCCTAGCTTTTGATTTACTTGCGCTCTGGATGAATGGTTCTGTGCTTTAAGCAGAATTCTTAAGCTGTTGCTATCAATTCTCTTCTCATCCTGTATCCTTTCCTGCTATAATTTTAGCTATAATTTTCTTTCCTCGTTGTCTGCTGTCCTAAATATTTAGGCTTTACAATGTTATAATGTACTTCAAAGAATACCTGTTATAACCACAGTTGCCTCATGATCCTTTCACATTTGTTGTTTCTTGATTGTTTGAAAACACAAGATCAATACGGGTATAAAATCTCCCATAGTAACAACATCATCCTGTACATGCACATAAGACTGCACTATAATCAATACCCCAGTTCAGTGTTGTTGTACATCGCTAACAATGTGCTCTTTTGAAGTTTTTTATACTTCTTAAATCTGTTACTTGTAGGGTAACAATACAGTTCCAACATTTACTCAAGATACATAGGCGATACAAACAGACCGTATCACATGGCACGTTTAAGATTTGAATATACAGAATTGTCAATCAGCAAATTGTAGTGGAAGGATTCTAAATATACATTGTAAGGAAATGCAGCATTGGCAAGGACATTGATTTCCATCAGTATCCTCATTGCTGTCTGTAACAGAGACAAGCCCTTACTGTCAGTAGCAGTTAGTCAGTTTCGGGGAAAAACAGTGTGGTTCAAACTCTTAAGCTTGATGTGAAGGTAGAAGTCTCTTATAGCAGTAGTTTTGTGTCCCAATTTTTCTGCCACTCATCGGCTAGTGTGACTTTGTCTTCAAGATACTGTACTACTTCTTCATCACTTCTTAGCCAATAGGTTTCTTTTCCATCTCGATCATCTTTATACTTGTCTACATGAGATTGCCTCCCATTCAGATGGTGCGCTAAAGGCACTTCCCTCGCACACTTTTTGTTATAGAATTACCTATTTGCGTATCTGTATGGATTGGGCTGAATGCTTTTCTGGTGCTTAGGAATTTGCAACCAACTTGCATACTTAAAAGAACACATTGTGTCTAGCGTCAGGGTATAAATGGGACTTGCACTCATTTTTTGCTTCATTACATTTAAGCCTTAGCTATAGTTCATTGTGAAACCTTAATAGTGTTTCAAAACTTTTTATTGTGCCAGAAAGGTATTCGTACCAATCCTATACTACCTGAATCGCTAAATTACTGTGCAGAGTGAAGTTCGTGATTAATCCCACTACTTTGTGTTGTCTCCTTTTTTTTTCCAGATCCTGTGTTAAATTATTTAATGAAGGGTCTGAGGGAGAAGCCGCTGGCGTCAGTAGCTGCTAAAGCAATCCACAACATTTGCTCAGTGTGCCGGGACCACATGGCACAGCATTTCCAGGGACTTCTGGACATTGCCCGGGCCCTGGACTCTTTCGCTCTGTCTCCTGAAGCCGCTATTGGGCTTCTGAAAGGTTATTTACACCATTTGCTTATGAACGGTTACCTGAGATTAGATTGATGTTTTCTAAAAAGAAGTCTTTTCCCGCAACAGTTTAAAATTATGGTTGTTCAGGTTGGCATTTCAGTAAAAAAACAAATGCAGTGAAAAATGTGCACACATTGTTTTAAGGAGCTTATTTCCCTGATTTCCGAGCATTTTGTTTCTAGATGGTTGTTTTATTGTGGTAATGCAGAGACCATTTAAAAAGGAATTTGTATCTAATATTAGTGCCCAGTAGTTAGTCTACAGGAACTTGCAATATTAGTATTAATTTTTAATTTGTATAAGTGCAAGCATTTGAGCCAGTTCAATATCTTCAAATAAACCCTTTTAAAGCCATAGTGAGGAGTGAGAAATAAATTCTGAGTGCCACACTAGAGACAAAATGAGCAAATTGCTCAGTCCTTATGTAATCTGCTTACACATTTGGATGAAAAGACATAATTCCCAGAAGCCAAAGTTTGTCAGGGCGCATGCCATATTTAAGCATGTTGTCTAATTTTTTGTGGTTCCAGATCGGTATTAAGTGGACGAAAAATGAAACACCAGTGTAACGTTACTGAATGTGACTTTGAGCCACCATGTACAGCCAGTACAGCCTTCCCTTTTTTGTTTATACACATTGTAACATTAGTCTCTTGCAGGCTATCGAGAAGAAAACAGTTTTTTGACCAGACACAACAAAATCAGGAGTCCTTCCAAGTACAAGCATTTTTAATACCACAACAACAGATGTCAAAATTATTTTAAAAAAATCTTAGTCTGTTGTTAAGGCACAAAAAACGTTTCTTTAAAGCTGCTTTTCAAAGTCATGTTTCCTAAGTACCTTGTCACTTTACCTCTCTTCAACATTTTCTTGTCCTTTGTCTTTTTTCCCCATCTTGCTTCCCTTTTTTATTTCCTTTTAACCTCTTTTTAAACTTCCCCATGACCGAAAGGTTTGATGGCTACTCAAAGTGCTTAATGAACAGGAATATGACATTTGATGCTTGTAAAGAGAGAAAAGTTTTTATTAAACTTGTAACATTTGGTCCACTAAGTCTTTGTGGATGAGGACACTGTCATTTATTCATTGATCTTGGCTTGTAAGTGAGCATAATGGAAACCCATAATGGAAACATGGATCCCTTCACAATTGGAACCAAGCACTCAAGGCTGTAGAGTTCTTTAGGCTGGCACCACACAATCGTCTGTTATCAAGAACGTGGTGAAGAATGATTTGTTTACCACCTTTCTCCACTACTCAGTAGGCCAATGCCTGTGCTCTCTGGGAGCGCAGCTCCCTACTCAGTTGGCAAATATGCATTTACAGGGTTGGTTGAGTGGGTTGTAAAGTGAAACCCAACTGTGATATCCCACTCTCTGAGGCTCTCAGCAAACAATTTTAATGAAACTGGCTTGAAATTTGCAGTTAATGTGCAGTTGCTCGCCTGTTTTGTCTTGCACTTAGGGTTAATGCACAGATATCCTGATACTGGAGTGTGCACCTCTGCCCACTGTTGCTCTTTGCTACTTATGTCTTTCCCTCAGATTTCCATTCTGACATCTCCTTAGCCAGTGTTGCTTAAGAAACATCAGAAAGCTGGGCTATCTTGGTCACTGAAGCATCTGCCAAACCCCCCAAATAATCACAACTTATTGAAAACCACTGAGGTCCTCTTACTGCCTTTCTAGTCTTAATTATAGTCAGGCAGGACTGTCCACCATTTTTATACATGACCCTGAGTGTGCTCTCAATTATCTCGTGCATCACAGCTGTTTGAAAGCCCTTGCTTTCATTATAGTTGGTGTTACCTTAATTTTGACTAGTACTTGAAACATACCATACTAAGCACAGAGCAACAGTGGCAATTTAATATCCTCGCAGGTTAAAAGAAACTTGAATAATACAGCTCTACAGAGTTGTGAGATTAACTCTTTATATTTTGTTATTCTTATTTTTCAGTTTCTATTTGTTTTTTCCCCCATTTTCAAAAACGTTGTGTTTTGATTGCTCGTGTCTTTTTTCTTTTCTTTATGTAGGCACTGCATTAGTTTTAGCCCGACTTCCACTTGAGAAAATTGCTGAAAGTTTGAGTGATCTTTGTGCAGTGCAGGTCGTAGCCCTTAAAAAGGTTAGTGCTCTGTTTGCTTTGATTTGTTGTTTGGATCGCATAAACCTTCTTTAAATTTCTCTTAAACTAAAATTGTATAATATGAGCTGTATATAGTATATAATATTTAGATGTATTGTCCTTTTAATATTGAAGTTTAAACTTTTCACTTTTTCATGAACATTTGTCTGCTTTATTAGAAGTGTTTTTATTTCAAAAACCCTTGTGAGATCTAACCAGAATGTTATTTTGGATTATCTCTTGGTAATTAATGAAATGTGAAGATCTGGGTAACCTGAAATTAATTTGGTATCTTTGGTTTATTTTAACAGCTTCTCTCCCAAGAGCCCAGGAATGGTAAATCTTCAGATCCCACAGTATGGCTAGATAGATTAGCAGTAATTTTCAGGTGAGCATTAAATATTTGTTTGGTAAATACATGAAGATTGAGTAGGTAGCTGCATCAGGATGTGTAGACTGCTGAGGAACAGGTAATGGTTTATTTCATGCTGTAGGGAAAAGAAAAAACACAGTGGCAATAAAATGTTATTTCTTTTTCTTTCAGCATATAATCATAGGATAAACATTTTCGAAAAAAATACACGACTGGCAGGATTGGCACTATATCAGAAGCTTTAAATTTCCCAGTGAATGCTACAGTGGAAATACAGTTTCTGCATTTTTTTGAATATTGTTAGCTACCCCCCAGCTTGTGGAGGTCAATGACAGTTTTCCTGCAATCTTCAGAGAGTTCCCTTAACCTTAACCATGATTATTCATACTAATATTCTGTCTTCTGTTATACCCTGAAAAATGAGAAACCTGAGAGCCTTTGTATAATTCCAGAAGCTTCTATTGCACCTCCAAAGATCAAAATGTTGCAAGAGATTTGGTTTGTTGAATTTCATTTAAAATAATACTTAGATTTGTAACATTAGTATTAAAATACTTAGAGTGTAACATTAGAGTGTAACATTTTTTAATTGTTTTAAGCAAGACATCATATGATCCAATCAGTAACTCATTTTATTATTTTTTTTATTTTTCTTTGGGAATATGAATAAATCTGAAGTGTACAGTATCTGTATTATAGAGGGGAAAAAATGCAGTAAACCCTCTGAGATGTTAGAGATACTGTATAACATATCTGAAAATCTGCCATTAAATTTAATTTCTGTACATCTTTATTGCTTTCAGACACACAAACCCTATAGTAGAAAATGGCCAGACCCATCCATGTCAAAAAGTTATTCAAGAAGTAAGTTACTATTTTAATTTAAATTCACATTTATTTCTAGGTATCCCCAATTTTTGATAAGTCTGTCTCTTTTGTTTTTGATCATTCATTGTTAAACATCAATTTTAAGTGCTTGTGGAGATCTTTTGACTTGAATAGCACAGATCCAGTTACAAACCAGTAACGTTTCAATTTGCGTTTTACTGACTGTCGTGCAGATTTGGCCTGTCTTGTCGGAGACACTGAACAAACATCAGGCAGATAACAGGATTGTGGAGCGGTGCTGTCGGTGTCTGCGCTTTGCTGTGCGCTGCGTCGGGAAGGGCTCGGCGGCCCTGCTGCAGCCATTGGTCACTCAGGTTGGTGTTAGGCCACGGATGAGCATGCTTGCTCAAAAGGCAGAGGTTTGACTCCGGTTGAGCAGATTTGTGGATTGCAGATCAGTCAGAAATTAAGGCAGCTGAAAATGTTTAGAGTAATAGCAGTCAGGATGCTGCATAAATAAAATGATAGCTGTTCTACAGTCCTACAGGAAGAAAGAAAAATGATTATAAATCTGTCCAATTTAAATTTCACATGAAAAACATTTAACTATTAAAATTTACAATACAAAAGTATAGAGCAGAGTATAGTTATATCTATATATTGCTTCAGCATTATAAGTCAAGTAATATCCAGTGCCTTGCAAAAGTATTACAGTTCTTGCAGTTTTCCCTTTGTTGCCTTAATATTTGTAGACATTATACTTTGATGTAGAAATATTTGTTATATTCAAAACCTACTTAACACATTCTAAGCAGAAAACAGGATGGAGAGTATGAAACAAAAAATGGATGTGATTTCATAAATATTACCTAATGAGGCACACAACTTCTCTTTCTCTGCAGGTGTTTCTTATGATTTAATAATAAATACAACAGTCTTTACGGTCCTTTAGTCAGGTGTAGGTTTTAAGCAAAGATTCAACCATGACGACTAAGGAGCATTCAGGACAACTCTGGCCTAAATGCTGAGTTGATAAATGCAGGAAGAATGAAAAATGCTAAATGTTACGTCTACTGCACATCACCCAGTCAACACCTCCCCTGTTGTCAAGAATGGTGGTGGCAGCATGATGTAATGTGGTGTCTGCTCATCTGCAGTGACTGAGAAGCACATTAAGTGTAAGGGGAAGATGAGTGGAGCAAAGTACAGATACATCTTTAAAGAATACCTGCTTCATTCTGCTAAAGCTGTGATGAAAATAATCTTTTCATCCAGAGAATGATCAAAAGCACAATACCACAGCTACACCGCGGTGGTTTAAGAATAAGAAATGGGATGTCCTTGAGTGGCCCAGTTAAAGTCCTGATTTGGTGTTTTAAAGACTGCAGTTTTGCACTTGTAACTTGGATGCAATTTCTTTTAAAAGTTATTGGGCCGTATTCACCTTCCTGGAAAGCATAACTAAACTTGATTTACATTCCACACTTTTTACTGTGTACCCAAGCAGTTTTTTTTTTGCTTTAATACTGCTTCCCCTTATTGAGTTGATGAGAACACAGAAGAAGAGTCTACATAAAAACCCCAGACCCCTTGTATCTAACTTTCATCATCTCTGAAGCACCCATATGATATGCACATAGTATGTTCCTACTGCCAGTGTGGATGGCTTTGCACTTATCCGTGTTGAATTTCATTTGCAAAGAGTGGACCCAATCCGTTATCTTGTCCAAGTCTTTTTGCTGCTGTTTGTTTGCCACTCCCCCTATTTTAGTATCATTAGCAGATATAATTTGCTAAACTATTCCAGAATCTAGATGGTTATGCTAGATGGTTGATCAGGGAGAGCCACAGGCCTAAATCTGATCTCTGCTGCATACCACTGCTCACATCTGCTTAATTAGCGCTGTATTTACACTACTGTTGTTTCAGTATGTGTATTATTTGAGATTATTTCCTTTTATTCAATTCCTTTTGGAAATTACCTCAGAAAATCGAATGCATGACTATCTGACTAGAGCTAGCCATTGTATGTTCAAGCTTGCTTACTGTACATGTTGTTAAAATATTTTAGAGTATTCACAAATATAAAACAAATATTTTTGAGGGACTGTGAACATTTCTTCTTTTTGCACTATGGATAATTCAGTTTTCATGGGTAAAATGGAAAGCCAGTCAGGGCATCAGCTTCATCAACTTGACTAAATTGTTTGTTCAGTATTCCCAAACCCTTTGAATAAAGAAGAGGTTCTTGTGCTTCCACGTAGTTTTAGCCTTTCAAGAAACTACTGGATGAAATCCTGGCATTAATTAGCTGCTAATCAGAAAATGAGCTAGATGGGATTGGATAGTCTTCTCTTGTTTGTCACTGTTCTTCTCCATAATTAATAATGCAGATTGTTATTCTCAGTTTAAACATTTTTGCCATTTGTCTTGTACCTTTTTTAAGACCACACTTAAAAAAATATTAAAAATTAAAAAAAATGGGGTTGAGATATTAATACTTCTCTAATTCTGTTATTTTTTTCAGATGGTGAATGTGTATCAGATTTATCCCCATTCTTGCTTTTTGTACTTGGGAAGTATCCTGGTGGATGAGTATGGAATGGAGGAAGGTTGTCGACAAGGGCTTCTTGATATGTTGCAGGTACTGATACTTCTGTTTGTTGGTTTGAAGTCTGACCTTTTTGCATTTATTTGATTAATTCCAATTATTTTGTTCTTTTTTAAGGCATTTTTATTGCTTTTGCTTAATTGCTTATCTGATTTATCTGTGGAAATTTAGGATATTTTATATTTATATACATGCTCCTAATCTAAGTCTTGGCATTGTTTTAATTGCACAGACCTACTCAACAAATATAGACCATAGTTCTTTCATCGTTTTTTTTTCAACAGTAACTTAATATTTTGTTTTCCATCTTTACGTATCAAGTCTGTTTGCATTCTGTAGTCTTTGGAATAACGAGTCCATATGAACCGAAATGTTACACACTAAGCATTCTCAAGATTTTGATAGATTGATATTTAAAGTAATGAATCCGATGATCTTTTTTCAGGCATTGTGTATGCCAACCTTTCAGCTGCTGGAACAGCCCAGTGGTCTCCGAAATCACCCTGATACCGTGGATGATCTCTTTAGACTGGCAACAAGGTAATAACCGTTTTAGTTTGATTTTCAGTTTGACAATCAAACAGGTTTTAGGTCTCTGCATAACTCTGTCTGCTCAAAATCTGGAACAAAAGGTTAAAACAGTCCAGCTAAGCAGACAATATGTTTATCATCAGTCTCTGAAAACTACAGGACCCTGTCATGCTCAAGGACTGTAGGTGATTGCTCTTGATCCATAGGAATGTAGTTCTCTAGCTGTGAAATAGAGCCAGGATGTTTATCTCCTTATGTGTTTTATGTTTTATTTTATTCTTGCAGTTTTTTTTTCTTGGGTTTGTTCTTCATATTTGTATATTTATCTATCAGATTTTACTTGTACCTATAGGTTTATTCAGCGAAGTCCTGTCACCCTGTTGGGCAGCCAGATCATAATCCATATTATCCAGTGTGCCATTGCTGCCACTACCCTTGACCATCGGGACGCAAACTGTAGCGTGATGAAGTTTGTGCGGGATCTGATTCACACCGGCCTCACTAATGATGTGAGTTCTCCCCCACAAGAGAGGAAACGGATGATAAACATTAAAATGTTATAACCTGTTTGTAGAATATACACTGTACTGCAGATATGTTAGGTGTTATTCACATGCAGCATCACACAGTACAGCAGCTTCAGTGAAGTGAACCTTTCACTTGAAGTACAAGAGTTGTAGTGGTCTGTGAAGTATTACTGTTCATACAACATGCCATGGTTTAGCTTTAATTAAATATCGCTTAAGAAATTACCTTTATTCCACTTTATTCCTTAACAGACTTTTATTTGCCATACTTGTTCTTATTGTAGTGAACAATTAAGCACGTCCAGCCCATAGCTTTTATTCTTTGTCATGATTGTTGTCATTCCAAATGTCATTCCTAGGTTCAGAGTCATCTCTGCAATATTGGTCTAAAGGTTTGACGTTTTGTGATTTTTGGTGTTCCATGACTAGGGTTAAAACAATCTCTATATATGTATGTCTTCTAGCATGAAGATGACTTTGAGTTGCGCAAGCAGTTGATTCAACAAGCAATGAACCAGCATGGGCAGCAGCTAGTGAGCCAGCTGATACATGCGTGTTGCTTCTGCCTGCCCCCCTACACGCTGCCTGATGTGGCAGAGGTCATCTGGGAAATCATGCTGTTTGATCGGCCAGTACGTTCCATGTGGCATCTACTCACTGAAAAGGACTTGTTGAAAAAAAGAAAATGTATAGGTTACTGTGAATACAAATACTGATGTTTAGTGATATCTGTTTTTGTTTGTCTTTAAAATCAGTCTTCTGAACAGTGATGAGACCAAGTGTTTTTAATAGAGCTAAGTACAGAAAGCTTTTGAATTTCTCCTCAAGAGGGCAGCATTGTATATACAGAAAATTGATTTTAAATCTGATTTTTTTGTCTTAGTTTTTTAAGTTGAGCTTTTCTTTCTCTTTAAAACTTAATTTTGTTACACTCAACTTTTCCTTTTATCTGTTGCTATATATTTTGTTCTGTTGCTATAGTTTTGTTGCTCACCACATCAGATCTAGCTGTTCCAGTAACAGCAAATTAAACATCACAGCATTTCAAATACATTCATTCTAGTGATGGAGGTGAATGTTTTGCCAGTGTGAAACATAATTTTAATTTTTTGAAAAACTTTTACACTGAGGCAACATATACATGTTACAGTTTGGATTTTAATATGTTGTAGCATCAGAAAAATGCAATGAAATGTAACATTCCTTTTATAAACACTTGGATAGACTTTCCACTATGTAAGAAAATTACCTTTATCATATTACATGGGTTGCTTTAGGATGTAGGATCTGTTTTGATCTTTGAGAGCATATTTTCCAGCTCTCTAAGAACATTTGGTCATTTTAAGAGCTTTTTTAAGATTTGATTTCAGTGCACCTAAAAGAACTGTTAATGACTGCATGGATGTTTTTCTATAAAACAGACATTCTGCCGCTGGCTGGAGAGTGCTTTAAAGGGTCTTCCCAAGGAGACTTCCGGTGGAGCTGTGACTGTGACACACAAGCAGCTCACTGACTTTCACAAACAAGTAACCAGGTAAACTGGAGTCTTCTCTTTCTTGATCTGATGCTGTTAAAAGGAGGTTCAGAAAGCCGTGCATGATTTACATTACACAAATATAATTTTGAGCCTAGTGTAAGGTGAATTTCTGACCTAATTGCCTATTGGATTTTGACCACCAGCACTAAAAAAGTTTTGGAATACATGTAGGTCGCGATTCACACACTCCTAATTTGCATGTGAGTTAACATGCGTCAGAAATATATACCACTTCTTAATTTAGGACACTCTCAGCTTTGTAGTTTTTCAAGACTTCCATTCATTTCTTAACCGCTTACTCCTGGTGCGGGTTGTGGACACAGGCTGAACAGGGATGATCAGACTTCCCTTTCCCCAGCAATAGTCTCCAGCTCCTCCTGGTTGATTCCCGGGTGAGCTGAGAGATATAATCTCTCCAGCATGTCCTGGGTCTGCCTCAGGGTCTCTTCTCAGTACACCCAGGAGGCATCCTCAGCAGATGCCAGAATCACCTCAGCTGGCTCACTTGAGTCTGTCCTGGGATCAAGGCCTTGTCGTGGTGGAGGGTCTTGAGTGCCTCCGGGAGCCTTAGAGGTGTGTTGTCGAGAGCTTTGCATTCCCTTGGCAAATTGGCCTAAGCTGAGTTGCTCTACGAAGAATGATCCATACTAGATCCCATGGTTGTTCCCTTAAACACTGAGAGAACCCGGCCCAGCACAGCCCAAAATGGCTGCCTGGGTGACAAGACAGCTGGGTGACAGGCATGAGCAGGACAGATCTGGACCCTGCAGCAAAGATTTCTTAGTCATTAAATACTAAATATCCACATCCATATAGAATAATGATAATTATTAGAATTGTAAAGGTAGTTCGTGATTAATACCGCCAGTGTGGTCCTGGAAAATGCTGCATGAATCAAAAATACGTAAATAAAGAAATATCATTCCTTGATTACTTGTTGTAGGGTTGCACTGATAGTTTTTCAATAATGTAGTTGGAACAGATGCTGTTGTAGTCTTCTACATAGCTGCTATAAAACAATGACCATGAATAGTACTATATAAACATGTACTATTTATGATACAATTCAAATTATATTCCTGCATTTGCTGCCATGAACACAAACTAAAATAAATACAATTTTGTATGCTATCTGTACTTTTGTTTCTATTTTGTGCTACTCTCTTCCCCTCTAGTTTAAGAGTGTGTGCAATACTTATTGTATCATAGTAAATCAGACAATCAAGCTTTTGATTAATTGAAAGATCCCAATATTAATCTTTCATGTTACACAATTAAGAAAGAATTAAATGTATTTAAGTCCACTGCATTAACAAGAAAGGGATACCCTGGTGTGAGTTTTATTTTCACTGCAATATAAGTACAACCAAAGTCAAAGCTGAGCACACAAGAGAAGATAAAACATTTATATATATATAGCATAACAACTAATAAAAGTCAAATTTTAATATTAGACATCAGAATTATGTAACAGCTCACTGCTATATTTAAAGATACATCAGTGAGTGAAATTTGTTTTCTTAATGAATACCAGAATTTCTGCCTTCTTACACAATTTTGTTCCTCTTCCCATCTGAAACAATGTGATGTTTTTTCTCTAATACTGCTTACTGGGTACAGAGAGGACCTGGGAACTTCCTTGTAGCTACAAAGCTGATTTGCAGATTTTTAAAAATATTTTCAATTACTGTTCTTCTTAGACAGATATGTAACAGAAATGGACATTACTGTAACACAAATTCACATCCATGATCTTGGGTCTTGGTAAGCATTATAAATCAGATTGTGTGATTCAAAGGTTTAATCTTCAATTTCAGTGTGTATTATTGACCCTTAACACAAGGCAAAATTAATTGTTTGGGAAAAAATACCAGGATGTTGGTTTCGGCTCATAACTGTATTTTCATAACCTTTTTTAAAGAAGCAATTTAAGTTTGATATTGCTTTTGGTGCAAAAAGCTAAATGTAAAAGCTTTTATGAAGATGAGGTATTTCAGTATAAGTTGGGGTTTCCCAAGAGACCTGAAGTGGTGAGGAAGTAAAGGCATGACCTCCTCCTTTCGTGTTTCGTGACTGTCTTACAGTCTTTCACATCTGCAAAACACAAAACCGTACTGAGGCGTATAGTCCCATTACCAAGTGTTGTGTAAAGAATGCATTTCTAAAAAAAAAATTAGCAACATTAATTGGAAAGCTGCTCTTTAGTGACTCATAAAACGCAGAACTTCCTTAAGGGGGTTTACCTGGGCCTGCAAAGACAAGCAAATGATTGTAATTTTGTTCCAGTGGAAAGTCAGGAAAGTCTTAATTTACATGAAACAGTAATCTAGATTCTTGGGCAAGTCTGAACGGGACTTTAGGAGTGTTCAGACACTGTGCTTCAATACAAACTATGTCCGTATAGGGCGCACTTATTGTAACTAATAATTCTTTCCAAAAATAACTTTTGCTGCTAAGGGCTGAAACTGCCCTCTCCTCTACAAACAGAAACTTGAGTCACTCATTTAAAATGAGTTTTTTGTCTCATCTTTTCTTTTCAACGTTTCACTATTTTGTTTGTTCCTGTGCTTTATGATGAGCAGAAGCAAAGGAATTTAAATTTCTGTTGAAGAAAATTGATAATTTATGAAAAACCATCAGTTGCAGTACTGTGGAGCAGTGGTTAGGGTTCTGGACCTATAACTAGAAGGTTGTGGGTTCAAATGAGACAGCACTGTTGTACACTTGAGCAAGATACTTCATCCAAATTGCTCCAGTAAAAATACCTAGTTGCAAATGTATGTTGATGTAAGGATGACTGTCATATAAACTAATACATTTTTCCTTTTCTGAACCAATCTGTATATTCTCAGTCATTCCTAATACCATAATTATATATAATGAAAATGTAAGTAGCCTTGTATATGTATTTTTCTTTATTGCTAAATCCCCTTTAAAATGTCTTACTTGTCACAACTAAATTTAATTTTGTCAATAGCAGATGTTCTTTTTCATTTGCAGTGCTGAAGAATGCAAACAAGTCTGTTGGGCACTAAGAGAATTCACCAGATTGTTCCGATAGCTGTTTGCACGTTCCACCAAAAGACCAGGTAAGAATAAGACAGGTGTTGTTAGAACGTACATGATATCAACATATAATATTACAAATACTACGATTTAAAAATAAAATAGTCATCCCTCGCTTTTCGCAGGTTTGTACTTCACGGTTTTAGTAATTCGTGGGTCGCCCTCCCCAAAAAAACACTACTTGTACTTCCCCACGTTATATATTAGTCCGCCTATGTGCCATTTCGCGTCCGTTAAATCCCTGCGTTTCCTTGTTCAAGTGAAGTTTTTTGTGCCCCATATCTGTTATTTTGATTAAATATGGGACCTAATCGTGCTTCTAGTTCTTGTGCTAGTAATCCTGGACCTAAAAGACGCAAGAATGTGATGACTTGGGCAGAGAAATTTTGCACTTTTAGACACGTTAAAAGAAAGAAAATCTGTTCAAGGAGTTGAAGGAAAAACAGAAGCAGCTCCCCATCACAATGTTTCTGCAAACAAACGAAACTCCAACCACCGAAAGTGAACCAATTGCAAAATTACATTAAAAGTGAGTGAAAAATAAAATGCTTTTCATTTTCATGATTTTGTTAAATGACTAAAAGGGATTTAATAACAGAAACATTAAAAACTGTATAAAAAAGCACTTAAAATCCGAATAAAGTTGTTTATTGGGCAGAAAAATTCAGAATAAAGTTATTTGTTACCAATACTTTTATGCCTTTCCTTCATCTTCCCCCTACCTTTCCATGTGTTCAAAAATGCGAAAAATCGAGCAATATGCTCTCTACTGTTCTCTTAATCACCCTCAATTAGAAAAAGAATACTAAAATGTTTTTTTGGGACCGGGGCTGTTTTGGAGAGGGCGGTCAAATATTTGTGGGTTTTTGATTTTCGTGGAAAGTCTTGGAAACTTTCCCCGTGAAAAACAAGGGATGACTGTATACATAAGGGTCACAAAAGCATAATGATTTGCTGTACAAATGAACATTTGTGAATACCTTTCAACATATTTGCATGTATATAATTAGTTTTATTACAGATTATACTATATAGCGATAGCAGTATTCATCAGGCAGACTGCCATCCAATTGCTTTGAAGTTTTGGTCCAAAAAATGAGCTCATTTTTAGGCTAAATTTGCATGTTTTTTTTTTCAGTGATTACAGTGGAGTATGAAAGGTAGAATTGATTCATAGGATTGATTTTTTTTTAGTTTAGATTTTTTTTTTTAGGAAAGATATCACCGATTAAACACTGTAGCATGTCCCTTATACATTTTAAATTGTAAGTTTTCAGTTTTCACCAGATGTTTCACAACTTTGGAATTTTAGTACGTGGAAAACTTGATGTGAATGGTGTGATTAATTTTGTCTGCTGATTTGCTTCATTGTACTGCTGTAATTACACATCTCAGTGTTACATGTAGAAATTTGCTGGGTGTATAATGGTAAGAAGTTGGTAATTTTGCCTTTTGTTTTTTAGGACTGTCCTTTGTTTGCAACTTTGAGAGGTAACATTATAGAACATGGTGACTGCAAATAAAAAGGGAACTCCCTCACGAAGGACAGAATGGGATTCAGCCTACTGTGTCAAGCCATGAGGGCAATTCTCAGCATTTAGTGACTTACTTTACAAAGGTTGCAAGAATGAGATGGGTACAACGCATCCATCAGCCTGGCGAACAGATGGCTGCCGCTGGACAGACAGCATGAGGGAAGACTGCTTTCCTGGGGACTGTGCTAGATAAGGAACTTTTGCTGATTAAAAAAAAAAATAGTAATTTGCTCAGCATTGGTTGGATTTCCACAAATCATGGATCCATTGTGGAAAAAGAAATGGATGTGCCTGGTATTTAAAAACAAGTAAAAGACTTCTGTAAGTTTTTAAAAAGAAATGATTTATTTTCATTGAACTGTCTTTAGAATGACCAAACATGGTTTGCTCTCTGTGCCATAAAAAAGCAAATCCGTGTGATTCCAATTGCAAAGCACCCTTGGGATTTGGAAATAGTGGTGGGAAGTTTCATCTGCCCATTACCTTTACCTTTTTAAACATTGGCTGGAGTTTTATTGTTCTGATGCCAGGCCAAGCTGTAACATATTGACCAGTGGACTCTGGCTGTTATTTTTTTTGTTTCCTTTCTTCTGTAGCAGCCTGCCTGGAATTCAGGTTATCAGATGGTGGCTGCCGAGTTGTAGGAGTTGTGCCGACATGCTGTTCCATCTGGTGTTGTAGCCATCTCGTGAACAATAATAAAAGTGAGGACAACAACCTGTTTCAGCATTGTTTTGTGGTTTCATTAAGCTGGAGATTTTTGTTTTCTGTGCAGCTCAGCAAAGAACCGGTCAAACGAGTCTTAAGTCAAGTCACCTTTCTTTTCAGTAGCAGTGTAATCTCGTAGGCAATTTTAGCATAAATCCTTTTGCAAATGAGTTGCTACACACTGCCTCATCCCACTGTGTCCTTGGAGCAACTCCCTTTTCCTATTAGTCATTTAATTGCAGCCTTCACGTGACTCAACAGACTTCTTTCAAGTCACAGTTTTCTGCAGCAAAAAATAATAACAGGTTTTTATTGCATGAGAAATTAAAAGGCCTGTTTAAAGATACAATCTGTTGAAGTTAGGAACAGCAATGATAGGCTGATAGGTCATGAGAAAATATTATAAAGTGAAAATCTCAAAAAAGACTAAAATCTTACATTTAAACCCTGGCCAAAGCTGGGTTGCACAGCTTTGTCTCTGATTTTTCATTATAATCCAGTAAGTGTATTTCACACTTTCATGGATAGAACCTCAAAGACAAACTGTCTTCTTGTACTTTTGTGCCACCTTTGCAACTAAATCAAACGCACATGCAACACTTTTTAACCCATCCAAACTCCATAGGTTTTAAATAAATTAAACCATTGTTGCTGCTTCAGAGTCTAATTTTTTTGTTAATATTGGCTTAGTTCAATATGTGAACTAAACAGGGAGGCACAGTGGTCAGCAGTGCTGGTGTCCTGGGTTCAATTCTGGACCCGGATCAATTCTGCTGCCCTGTGATGCAACCCTGAATTTGAAGAAGTGGTTAGACGATGCATGGATAAACTAAAGATTTTAAGATAAAGCATGAATTACTTCCAACAATTACTTAATTTGTGTATGTGTGCTGCAGTCAGAACAGCTCAGTGTTAAACCTCATTAAGTGAAAGGAACAGACTTGGAGAAGTGGGGCAATACCGATTAAGGAAGACTTGGTGCACACTCTATTCCCTCTGAATTGGAGATATTCTTTGTTTTTGAAAGGCGATTTGTTAAGAAGTGTCAAACAGAATATTCTTGACATGCATGCTTGAGAAAAACATACCAAGTTTCACATTTTGCTACTACTCCGGACATTGGATTTTTACATTTTACATTGGATTTTTACAGGATAACTGAGCGGATGCATATTGGTTAAGAAACATTAATACAGAAGACCATTAATTTTTTATTCATGTAAAAAAAGCATGAACTCTTACTCATATCAGTGTGCTGCTAAGCAATAAACAGTCGCCAATTTTTAACCACAGCATGCTGTCAGGTTTCTACATGTTGATACTTTTATGAATGGTTTTGTGGTAGAAGTACCTTACAATTTTAAATAAACTTTAAATTAAATATTAAATGAGTCATACAATTTAAATTCTAAATTTACATTTCCCCACAAAGTGTTGTGCAAAAATGTAGTTTTCTAATGTCTGTCAGTGGTGATTTATGCAGCAGATAAACATCACATGCATCGAATTCTGAGGTAAATACCATTTCCTTTCAATTAGATTTATTTTGTTTGTAGAAGTATAAATGTAAAGCACGGACGCTTTCATGTTCTCTTAGTTTTTTTTTTCTCTGAAGTGGAGCAACTTGGCAGCAAGTTTTGTATGGTTGCAAACAGAAAAGTGCTCATATAGCACTGTACCAGCAAGTTTAAGGTAAGAAATTAAAGTAACTGGTACTAAGAAAATAACATACTAAAAAAATTAAGCAGCAACGATCAAGGTTTGGTATCTTATGTGATTATACTAATAAATCTGGAAGCAAATTTGCATAAGGAGCATATGCAAAAATATGTCATGATTTTTACCATGGAGACTTTGATAATGTGCAATTTAAATTTTCCCATAGTGAGCTTTTTGTATGTCATTTTAATAACCAATGTGTTCCCTGAGAAAGAGACTTCTTGGGACTGTACTTTAAATCCTCTTGAGATTTTGTATAACTGAAACATTTTCAACATGCATGCCTAAATGCGTTGCATTTTCAGTCATTTTACATACACAGAGATTAAATGTGAGAAATACTGAATCTTTTTTTATTATGAAACATGAAAAAGAAAGCTTTCATGCTATTAAAAGAAACATAACTTTATCCTATATCCAACTGTGAGTGGGCATGGAAATGCAAGAAGGTGGACATCAGGTTTTGAAATGCAATTAAAAGTACAATGAACTGGAAATGAGTAAGGTAAAGTATTTGCCATGAGGTCTATTTGTTGATTAAACAGTGGCTTCTATTCCTTAAACACAGCATTGTGCTCTCATTAATGGTTGTCAAACACATGCAGGCAATTCATCTGGGATGGCTTTCAGTTAATAGTAGTCGGATGAAGTCCCCAATGTGTTTGAGTCTGTTGGTTCTGCCAAAGCCGATGAAGCTCCTTAAATTGTTCAACTGTTTGGTCCTTGAGGTCTGGGTTGGAGATTTGAAGGCGAATGCTATCAGTTGACCAGGAGAGCTCCCCAGAAAACATCTCTGTAAGGATCCGAGCAACCACAGGAATCACCTGAGCAAGTATAAAAAAATATATAAATACAGAATTAATTTAATTTCAGAGTTTGCCTTGGAATCCCTGTTTAATGTGCGTGTTTTAATATTTTTCCAAAAATTCCTATTCTACATTAGATGTGTTTCTACCTGGACAATAATAAGCTTTTTTTCTATAGGTTTTCTGTCTGGCCAGTCTTCCCCAAAACAGAAGTAGATTTCAAAAGGAGGTGGTGCATTATTTTCACCTTTCTGGTACAAGATCAGCCCTGTAACATAAAAGAAAAAAAAAACATTTGGAGTACCAACGTGTATTTAAATTCTTTAAGAAGTGCCTTGTAAAAAATATTTACCTAATGTTCAGTTGCTGCTTACCTAAATATTCAGTAAATTGATTGCTACTTAGTTTAAAATCCATTACTGTCTGGTAACATTTAATGTATTTCTCTTTTCTGTTAAAAAACATTTTAAGTCTTGCAAATAACAATGAAATGTGTTTAAATTGTTTTTCTATAACCTGCTCACAGGGAATTTTTCATACTGCATCTGAAAAGCTATCATTACTTAAAGCTCTAATTGACTGATATCAAGCAACAATTGACTGATATTTATTATATCATTGTTGTTATATTTATTAGTTTGGATTAAACATTGTCATTGGTACTCAACATTTCTAGATGCTTAAAAAGTATAGGCATTTTCACGTAAACATATTTTTAGAATTTATTTTACACAGGAACAAAAGCCTTTAAAAGTAATTCTCTAAATACAATCCTTCGATCATTTTCAGTTTTATGAGAATCTTATTTTATTTCAATCCATCACAGTGAAATTACAAAGAGAAAATCTGAGGTTTCAAGATCTTTACACACACCTGTCAAGTTCACATGTTCAATCATTCGAAACTACACAACACAATAACTGAAGGATTAATCACAGTTAGAAACACGTTATGTTGTGAGGAAAAGCAATTAAGCTCAATTATTGTGTTTAACCAGAAATCCACTCTTTTCAACTTTTGTGAAGGAGGATGTGGTTCTGCTAACCTTGAAGGAAATTGTTGAGACTGAAAACTTTGATCTTCTTTTCTCTCTCAATAGGATTTGGTCCAGATTGTTCAGAGACACCAGGCCCTGACCAGTATACTTTACACTGGCACAGGCGGATAGCATAGATATCTTGCCCCTGGATTTCTAGAATGAGGCCTCGGTCCATGACATCCAGGAGCTGGTTGGTGTAATATCGCTGCTTCTCGTTAGGAATTTCCATTGTGTCAGGGAACAGCACCTGCTGCAGCGTCACAGGTCCAAATAAATCCACCTGTTCAGGTGTGGGCTCCAGGTTCCCATAATAAAGCCTACAACCCTGGGGATTGCTTACAGTCAGGCTTCCAGCTGGCCTCCCACGATACTGGAACTTTATGTCCAAGTCTGTTACTGTAATGCAAAAACATAAAAAAAACATTAAATTATAAAATGTGATGCATTTCTATGCCAATTTCCATTAAGTAACATCTGATGATTTTTGAACAGTTCATTTCTTAAGCTATTCTTTTTTCTATGACTTGTTCCCTGCCAAAGAAAGGACTGAACATACACTTAAAATCCAGTACTATTAATGGCAGCAGCCTATCTCAACTGATGACATTAATAAGCAGTCTTTCTGTACACAGGAGTTTAAATTCTGATGATTTTGTACAAGAACAAAAAAGCATGGCTTACATGGAAGCATGTGGGGATTGATAAGCAGATCATAAATGCAAGGCTGCGACTGGACTTCTCCATGAGGCTGTATTTCAGCAGGCATGTCGCTATCTGCAATGCCAGGTAGAATTGGCGCTTGTGGCATTTCAGTGTGCCCTTGGGGAAGTGTGCCGTGACTCATTCCTCCTTGCCCCGATGAACTGTTGGTATGCGGAAACCCTCCATGTCTGAGATTGCCCATAGGTGGAACGTTGTTCTGGAACGCAGATAAAGTCATTGCTGGGTGTTGAGTTTCTCCAATGGCAATACTGCCATTGGGGTTGGGAGTAATGTTGTTGTGCAGAAGAGGCATTTGAGGAAGGGTGCTAGGGCCGAAGCCCTTGTTCATTGAGGGGTTGATGAATGGTACCTCTGTCTTTGGTGGGGCATAAGGTGAAAAACTGGGTGGGTCTGTTATTATGGGATCTGCAGGGGTAGAAGAAGAAAAAGTTAAATTCTTGCAGCTGATTTACTTTCCTTGATAATAAAACCCCTATCAGGAACGGTAAAGTCCATTCTCTGGTAATAAACTGTTGATTGTCACCATTGTGAAAAGGTTTAGGATACTAAAATCTCAATCCACCTGTGAATTGCAAATTAAAACATTAAGGTACTTGGTGTCAGCATTTGCCTGCCCAGAGGATTTCTGAGATTAGCAAAGAAAGTAAACACAGTATCAAGTACTGCATTTGGCAGACAAGCCAAAGATTTAATTTAGTCCAATTGTTAGACTTCATGTATTTGTCCAGATTTGTACTACGAAATTATAGAAGAATTCTAGCTCTCTGGATAATTGTTATTGCAGTGAGGTTCATGATATTGTATTAAAAAAATATAAATTATTGTGTCAAGTTGTATGCATCATACCTTAACAGGAAATAATGAAGATGATAATACCCTGTATAACAACACAGGACTCCTTTGTTATTAGTATATCATTTATGCCACACAAATCATTTGTTGAAAAATTTAGGAAAACTTCCTTCAGGAATATGGTCATATAAAAAAGACTTGATCCCAGGCCTTAATTTACAGTAATCAGTGTCCTCAAGGTTTTGGAGAGTTTAAATTGGTGATATGGGTTTACTCTATCAATTGAAATCCAAAACAGAATCTTTCTTGTTGCATGTTTTCTTTAAACATGTCTATGTAACTATGCATAGATTTTAGTTCTTGATTAATACCATTCACTGTTCTTTGGACATTTCACTGTAGAAATGAGATGAAAATGGTACAAAGTTTTGTAAATTATAATATTGTACTACATTTCCAAGCACTGTTGGGATGATTTAACATAATAGAACAGAACATAAACATGTGACAGAAAAAGAACATGAAAACAGAAAAAGAACAATAAAAAACAGAATCCAACATTTTCCATCTCTTCCACACCCCATGTCAGTCAGACCTAAGCCAGCAGTTCAATTCATACAGTCAGAGGTCCCCTCCACCCTTCCAAAGTAGCATCCCCTGCCAAATGTATTCTAGGGTTTGAGAGTTCCATCATGCTTATATCTTTGAAATATGACAACCATTGTCATAACAGGTAGTCGATAAGGAGGGAAATTACGCTTAAAAACTGGACTGCAGTGTCTTTGCTGTAGTCTGTACAATTATGGTGTATGATGTTTTTTATGTACAAAAATATTTAATAGGTATTGTATGTCCTACAACAATGTTGGCATGAATGCAGTTTGCTTGCATTAAATATCTCTTGTAATATAAACACAGTAAGTAAACAGTGTTTACCCAAAAATATTCAGAAAAGAAGTTCCTTATAAAAACGAAACAATTGTTGGCAGCAGGAATCTGTGGACAAGTTTATATTTGGACTGAGAACTGGTTAATGGAGAGAAAGCAGAGAGCATTGCTAAGGGGTGGGTGTTCAGACTGGGGGTGATATAACTAGTGGAGTGCCACAGGGATCTGTACTAGGACCATAGTTTTCCCTACTTTGTATCACTGATCTAAACTCTGGTATTCTTAGTAAACTAAGGTTTGTAGCTCGAATCAAAATAGGTGGATTAGTAACCTATGCAGAAACAGCAGAATACATTTAGATAGAATGCAAACACCTGGCAGATGACATTTAAATTATACAAGTGTAGGTAGTTGCCTGGTTGTAATACAAACACAGAGGCTTGTTATGAAAAAGACTTAGGTGTTGACATTATCTTCTAGGCAATGTAGCGAAGCAATAAGAAGGCAAACAAAATGTTGAGAACATAATAAGTATACATTTACACCAAGGAATGTTAGTTGTGCAGTGCACTAACCAGACCACTTTAGACTACTGTATACAGGTTTGATCACTAAATAACAAATATTGCAATTCTGGAATCACTACAGATAAAAGTAACCCGTTATATTCCCAGGGTTAGGGGAAAGTTCTTTGTTGACAGGCTAAAAGTGGTGAACCCTTTTTAGTCTTGAGGGAGTAGTGGGAGTATGAATTAGGCTACCCAGCCAAGTTAAGGAAGATGAAACCCTGATCTCTATAGCAATTTTACTATCTAGGAGAACAGCCTTCCCAGACTGCTATAGTAAACTGCCACAGTTACATAATACAGGAATGTCCTAGCAGAAAATGCTAAACCACATGCACATTGTGTTATTTCATTTTTAACATATATCCTGTGCAGGATGTAAAATAACTCACCAATAGACAGTCCACATATTTTCGGTAGCTGAAAATAAAAATAAGAATATTAATTACAGTTTAAAGTTAATTAGCTTACATACAATAGAAGATTTCAAGACATTCTGGTATCACAATGAAATATATCCTGTACAAATTCAAAACACACATTCCTCTTATCTAACCCACTAACCCACAATTTTATTCATCCGCCTGGCTTGTTGACCTTATAGAACTTGCATATTGTTACCGATGTTGTTTTCGTTAGAATCAGTTATATGTATTTACTATTCTTTTGTGATCACAGAAAATGCCATTTAAGACTTTTAAATTTTCTCAGCCTAATTTCAGTGTAGTTGATTACTTATTTGGAGTTTAAATCCATAACTGCTCTTTTGTGAATATTATTATTACACTGTACCACAAAAAGTTATGTTTATCTTACCTCATCATCTTCATCTTCACCTGCATCTGGGGATTTAAAAAAAATCAAGCTTCCTTTAGTGGTGTTGTGTTTCAAAAAGTAACCAAAGAAAAATGTCAACATCCTAATAATGAAACCTGTACTTGAACCATGTCATAAAATGTAATTTACAGTATATTTGTCATGACTTCTCCGTAACATTTTATACAGTTCATTTTGACTCCACTTAGTGGAGCTGTCTAAACTCTTTAGCAGAACATACTAAAAACATTTGACAAAAACTCATCAGTACTCTAAAATGTTAAAGACAGGAATTCCAAAAGAGGTCCTTGTATGATTATATGTCATAGTTCTGTTGCTTATATAAGTTTAGCAGTTCCTTAGAAAAAAATTACTATATGTAACTGCCCATGAGAACGTTTCTGTAAAACTGCAGAAGAAATTCACTTTTCTTTTGTTGCCGTTACCTCCGTTATACGGTTGGTCGCACACCTCGTATATTTTGTAAGGCTCAACGGGGGTCTCCTTGGTGCCGTCATACTTCAGTTTGAATTCACGGCTCTTGTTGAGGGCGCAGCGCAGGTTCGCTTTCCATTTTGCCGGATCCGGCTCATCCAGGCCCTCTTGGTATTTCCCAGTTTCCAGTGCCCAGGCCTGTTTGATGGGAACGCGCAACTGAAACTACTGGGTCATGACAGCATTAACTGATGGCTCAGTTATTCTGCAGGGGGGGGGGTGGTGAGAAGGCATTGCTGAAACAGCAAAGGATTCCACAGTTCTTAACTTGACCCTTACCTTTTCCTAGAGATGTTTAAAAGCTCACTAGATTCTACAACAAATCCACCTCCAATTCTGATTTGCACTGCATGATACGAACTTTTCTATCCTAAAAGGTCTTATGCATTACAAATCTGTGCTAGCTTTGCACCACCCAACTTTGTCTGCACCTTCTTATGATTCTAAAATACTCAGCAGCTACTTACACAAACGAATGGATCTCGTGCTTTTTTATTTTTTGTAAAAGGTCTTAGAATATATCAAGATTTTCCGTATTACTTTTTATTTCACCGGGAATAACAACACCCTAAGAACTGAGTATACTGAAAGGATTATGAAGTCTTTTAGTTACAATAGCTTAACACTCTTGGCTGAGGACTTCACCTCCTGGCCATAGGACAAGGAGGCTGGGTGCCCCATGCAGAGTGATGAGTGACCAAGGGGCAGCTGCAAAACTGGAGATGGGGTGGAGGTGGGATGCAAAAAGACATGTATGAGGGAGAGAAGGGGATCACATACATATTTCTAATGTTTTTGGTGAGGAGTTGACATCGGGATTGATTTGGAATTACTGACAGCTGAGTCTGTGGTCATCCCTCCCGAACTTTCGTTTATAAACCTCATTAAATAAAAAAGTGTTATATTTGCAGAAAGTAATGAAGAAAAAAAGTGTTCAAGTCTTTTAAAAAAAAAAACATTACAAAATGTACTTTCCAAGATTACAGTTCAAGATCAATTCTGAAGTCAGTCCAGAGTTTAAAGTGCAAACATCTTAGAAAACTATTGTTTTTTTAGTGTCCAATAATAACACTAATGTTCTATCGATGGTAAACATCCCCAAATGTGTGGTAATGAGCTCCACAGTACTTCTCTTGCCTCACACCACAAGACATGGCTTGTACTCTTGCTTAATCTCAAGAATGAACTGAAACTTAAACTGATGATGAAAAAAATTACTTAGCACATACTTTTTAAACTAGCTTCTCACAGGTCATCAAAGCAGACCATTTTCTTATGTATGACCTATTCTTGCAATTATTCCTTTTTTAACAAATATTATTATTTTCTATGGGAAACAGGAAATTATTTAATATTTTTAAAGCAAAGTGGAGCACATTAAATTCTTTTTCAGAATTATTTTTTTTAATGGAACAATTTGGCAAAAACCCTTATTTCATAAAATAAGTCTTAAAAACCTTTCAAGCTTTACCAGAAAAAAAAGTCTGCTAAAATGATTTCCAAATAGCCTTAGTATTTACAAAAGCTACAATTATACAAAATCAATAGCCAGTCACTTAATTACGGGAATTCCCTTAAACTCACAGACAAAAATACGTGAAGAAAAAAAAAATTATACGCAATATAATGAAGGTTTTCATCTCTATGTCTAGTGCATGTGTATATACAACTCTGTCATTACTTTGAAGGAAACAAAAGTACCATTTTTAGCATGTTTTATTTCCTTATTTTCAGGTGGTTCTTTTACATTACAAAGGGTCCTTGAAGAAGATTAAGCTTCTATCAGATGACTAGTGGAAACGTTATTATACAGTATATGGTGGTACAATCTTTCTCTTCGGGCCAGATACTTTTTTCTTATTCCCAATGAGTCATCTGAGAGACGGTTTGTCACACTAAATATGTGGATGTCACCAGATCTCTTTCACATTGTTTACCTAGCCTCATACACTGTTGACTTTGGGAGGTTTGTCAAAGAACATATTTGACTGTTCAGCCAGAATCAAAAACAAAAATATTTTATGCATGCTGCAAATGTTTAAAATATTACAAGTAACTACACTGACATGTTAATTATACAGTCCCAAGAGAAGACGTTGACATTTATTAGAGAATTAGGGCTACTTTTATTAAGGGAACCTTTACTCTACTTCCTCAATAAAACAGTAAATTATGAGACAGTTAATAAAATATGGAAAAGAGACTATAATAGCATAATATAGCATGTTAAATGGTTTTGAATCTATCTTTTCAAGTAACGCAGAAAACTTTGAGCACACTGCTTGACCATAATTAGTAAATCTAGCTGTACTAAGAAAACAGGGGTGATATCTGTAGATTTCCTTTTACTTTTAATATCTGATAGACTTGTATTTAGAGACGCTTAGTATTTTGCACCTCTGTCATCCTTGTGCTGGTTTGCCAGCACACACTGGCATTTAGAAATATTGTCTTTGCACCTGCTGCAGCTTTCATATGTAAAATATATCATCTGGATAGAAAGGGATTCACCCTAAAGATAGTGTTCTCCTCCTCCAGGGTGGGCATGTGACGAGTGGCATGTCGCCAGGGTATCTGGAAGAGTTTCTGTTCTTTGTCTAGCCACTGTAGCCCCAGGTACTTCCCGCTGTTCACCTGGGCAATCAGCCAGGGCTTCAGACGGAT